CCTCCCCCGAAACCCTCGACCCCCGACCCCCCCCTGTCCCCGTAAACCCTAAACCCCAAACCCTAATTCGGCGTTTGCAGGTGGAGCTGCGTTCCTCGGAGGCGCAGGAGGTGCACCAGGCGCTGCGTCTGGAGTGGGATGTTTACAAAATAATTTTGGACTTGCTGCGGCTGACTCCCAAGTTGGAGAGTCTTTATCACGAGACAGCGCGGAGAGCTTTTGCTTTTTGTCGGCAGCACAAGCGGCCGCAGGAGTTCCGGAGGCTGTGCGAAATGCTGCGGCTGCACTTTTTGCTGCTGCAGCGCAGCAGCAGCAGCAGCAGCAGGGGCCGCGACGAGCTCGAGCCGCTGCTGCGCCCCGAGCTGCACCTCGAGACGCGGCTGCAGCAGCTCGCTGTTGCTGCAGACCTCGAGCTCTGGCGCGAGTGTGCTGCAGCAGCAGAAGACATCTGCAGCTTGGGGCTGCACGACTTGTTCGTGCGTTCGCTGCGCGGGATCGGCTGTGGGGCGGGGATCGGGATCGGGATCGGGATCGGGGGCGCCGCCGAGCCCTTCCCCCGCGCCCGCGAGCGCCTCCCGCGCTGGCTCGCGCTGCTCTACGAAAGACTCAGCAGGGTCTTTTGGGTCGCCAAAAACTACCTTTTCCACGCTCTTGCTGCAGTTCGTTTCTTCCTCCACATCAAGAACTTCAAGAGAAGTGCAGCGCAGCAGGAGCTGCAGAGCCTGGCCAGCGTCGCGGTTTTGGCGGTGCTCGCGGTGCCTCCGGACGCGCAGCAGTCAGCAAACCCTGATTTAGGGTTTGGGGTTGGGGCGCGGGCGCGGGCGCGGGCTCGCGCCTGCCCGCGCGGCGCGGGCCCGCTAAACCACCCGCAGACCGCGCGCCACGCAGCCACTCTTCTGGGGTTTGTAGAGGGTTTAGCAGCAGGGTTTGGGGCTCGCAGGGGCGGGGCGGGAGGGTTTATGGGGTCTAGGGTTTAGGGTTTGGCCCTCAGGGACCGCCGTCAGGAGGACTTCTTCGGCGAAAACAGCATGTTGTCCGTCGCCAACTTCGAACAGCGCAAAAGACTCGCTTTGCTGCTGGGCCACAGCTCCATGCCTTCCCGCAGCAGTTTGCTGCTGGCCTTGGACTCCAAAGACATTCTGCAGCACGCAGCCCCCGCCTGCCAGCAGCTCTTCGCGCTTCTCCAGGCCGAGTTCACCCCCCTCAAGCTCTGGTGCGAGGGTTTAGGGTTTAGGGTTTGCGGGGGAAGCGGGGTCTACGCGTTGGCGTTTGGGGGGTCCACGGGGGTCTAGGGTTTGGGCTTTCGGGTTTGGGGGGCGAAGGCGGGTTTAGGGTTTAGGGCTTCGGGTTTGGGGGGTGAAGTGGGGTTTAGGGTTTGCGGTTTGGGGTGTGAAGTGGGGTTTAGGGTTTGCGGTTTGGGGTGTGAAGTGGGGTTTAGGGTGTGGGGTTTCGGGTTTGGGGGGTGACGTGGGGTTTAGGGTTTAGGGCTTCGGGTTTGGGGGACGAAGTGGGGTTTGGGGTTTGGGGTTTAGGATTTAGGGTTTGGGGGCCTGGTGGGGAACCGCTGAGGAAGCGGGCAGGCCGCCGGGGAGACGCGGGCGGGGGCGCGTGAGGGTTTAGGGTTTAGGGTTTGGGGTTTGTGCTGCAGCTCGCTGTGCGAGCCGCTGCTGAAGGAGCTGGAGCAGCAGCCGCTGCTGCAGCCCTATGTGCCCGCGCTGAAGCGGGTGGTTATCAGCCAACTGACGCAGCAGCTGGCGAGGGTTTACGTGAGTTTGTCAATAGATCATTTCACAACTCAAGTTTGTCCCGAGGGTTTTCTGTCTTGGCCGGAAGCAGAGAAGCTGTTGGTGTCTCTGGCGCACAGCAGCCGCCGCGGCGCTGCAGCAGACGGCAGCAGCAGCGCAGCAGCAGCAGCAGCAGCAGCAGCAGCAGCAGCCAACGAGCCCGACGCCTTCAGCGTCCGCATCGACTACGCAGCTAAAGCCCTCATCTTCGCCGAAGCAGATGTTTGTCCCGAGAGGCACATTCGCAACACCCTCGCCTCCCTCTCCCGCGCCCTCGACACGTAAACCCTAAACCCTAAACCCTAAACCCTAGGCAGGGGGGGCGCAGGCCCGGCGAGGGTTTGGGGTTTGCGGGTGCGCCCGCGCCGCTGGGCCCTGCGCTCGGGGCCCCCAGCGGGGCTCCCGCGCCCGCGCTGCTCTAGGGTTTAGGGTTTAGGGTTTGGGGTTTGGGGTGTTTTGCTGCAGCGCCGTGCAGTGCCTGCAGCCCGAAGAGACACTCGAGCAGCAGCAAGAACGCCTCGCCTACCAGCAGGCCATCCCAAAGAGACTCGAAGCAGAAGCAGCTAAAATGAGTCAGCAGCAGCAGCAGCAGCAGCACTCACAGCAGCAGCAGCAGTAGCTGCAGTAGCGCCTCTTCTCTCTGCTGCTTGAGCGCCCTCTTTGTGGGCCCAGGCCCTCGGCTTTAGGGCGTAGGGTTCAGGGTTTAGGGTTTAGGGTTTAGGGTTTGCGGTTCAGATGAGCGGCTGCGGCGCACGAACTTGCGGCGGCTGGAGAAGCAGGAGGAGCAGCAAAAGTTGGAGGAAGAAAGAAGACTCCGCGAGGCCGAACAAAGACGCGTCGAGGAGAAACAAGGCAAGCCCCCTGGCTAGCTAGCTGGCTAGCTAGCTAGCTAGCTAGCCAGCTGGCTGGCGAGCTAGCTGGCTAGCTGGTGGTGCTGAGTCTTCGTGTTTGTTCCCGGCGTTCTCAGTTGGTAGCTGGCTAGCAAGTCTCCTAGCCAGTTTCCCAGCTAGCTAGCTAGCTAGCCTCCCAGCTAGCTAGCTAGCTACCCTCCCAGCTAGCTAGCTAGCTAGCCATCTAGCTCCCCAGCAAACCACACAGCCCGCCACCCGTCCACCTACCGAGCAACCTAGCTAGCCAGCACCTGAGCGCCCTCTGCGTCTCCCCACTGCCTCCCCTCTCCCCACCCCCCGCTGCTGCTGCTGCTGCTGCTGCTGCTGCTGCTGCTGCAGAGC